GCCAGATATAAATCTGGGTCGTTCCGGTTACGTAGACCCGACTGTCGTGGGTGGCGTCGCTATTGGCGCTTGCGACCGTGCAGCGCAAGACGGGCCCTCGAAGTTCCTCGTCCAATCTCGCGTGGTGGCAGACCTGAACATGCCCTGAAGTGGCACCAGCCAAGGCAGGTGTTGCACTTGACTGATGTGATATTACGGAATATCCTGGTCTGACACACCGTGCATATTGTTGGAGGAACCACGAGTTGTTGGCGGCGGCGTGTGGGTTGTGGTGCGGTTATGTCTGTTGTGTGGTCTGTCGTGGTTCGGTCTATTATGTTGTATTGTGGTGCTGTGGTGTTTGTGTTGAGCTGCTCAGGCGGACTGGGGTTTGCCGTGTAGGCAGCTCTGTTTGAACAGCAGGGGACCACAAAGGAACTGGTCCACTGTCGATGTGTCCGTAGGCCTGAGCAGACTCTAAGGTGACTCCACCCGTTGCAAGCCTTGCACTTGACTGAGGTGGAGTTGTGGTGTATTCGTTTGTGACATACACAGCAGGTGTAAGTTTCTGGCCCTAGGTTTGACTCGATGCCAGCCCTGGGCAGAAGAATACGTAGCAGGTATAGCCCTATGGACAAAGCCTGAGATATTTCACCGACCTAAACGGGGTTAGATCGCTGAAACAAAAACAGCCCTTGGTCGGGTAAACCCCAAGTCATTCCAGTACGTAGAACCGGCTGTCGTGGGAATGGAGATAAGTCGATCTTCCACTCAGGTGACGATATGTACATACCTTCAACTTAATAAAAACCAAATATAATAGCTGGAAAGATGATTTCTTTCAATTTGCAAGTCATTAAAAAACGAATGAAAATTTTGCGTGTGTTCAGAAGTGCATCAAGCCAAAGCAACAGTCTCTTTTGTTTCTAAACTACAATTAATGGAAATATCCAATATGCACAATCACTTTTAAGTGCCGAATTGGAACTTAGTTGCGTAGATAAGGAATATCCATAAATTATAGTTTAGAAGAGACTGATGCTTCGGCTTAATGCATTTCTGAACGCACCTTTTTGTTGCAGTTGCTGCAACATAGATACATACATACATATGTTAGGTTTGAAAGCATGCAGCTGACTCTCAGCTGAGCTGAGATACTCAATAATCGATTGGTAATCGAATGCAAATGAAAAATTTAAGGATTTTCATATTTCAAAATTTGAATTTTCCTCCGCTAGAACGGCTGGTTCACCCTCTGTTCGGTGTGTAGCCCACGATGAAGAGATTTATAGGGTGTTATACACTCGGAGGATTGCATTTGCCTACCGAGAGGCGGGCTGTTACAAGTTATATGTATGTACAAGTTGTATGTATATCCAATGATAACCGAGTTATATGCCAAAAGGTCGAGGATCATAGAATATCTGACCACGAAACAATAATGTTTCGACTAAATGTCAATAAACTTAACCCACTAGCTAAGGAGGCAGAAGTAATAACCTGGGAGAGATCCCTGCAGTGAAAAATTATCAATTGTTAAAACGAACCAACTTATAGTTAGCTTTTTGGCGAGATTTCGATTAATACCTCACTTTTAATTAGCTATGACAAAACCAACTTAAAGTGAATTGTAAAGTCGTGCAGGAGTCATGCAGACGCAATCGGGAGTTGGTTTTCTTTACAAGTTTCTATTAAATATCCTCATACAAAAATTACTTTCAATACACTTTTTTCTGAACTTCGCAGATTCTTTTTCATATTCAGGACAAATAAAAGGAAGATCGAAATTTTATACTATCATTTTGAAGTTATGTCTGACGGTGTTCGAATATGGGGCCACCCAGAGCAGAATATGTAAACAAATATGAAATGTAATAAAATAAAGTAAATAAATAAGTAAATAAAAAAGTAAAAAAACAAAAAAATATTTTGTTTTTCTTATAGATATTTTATGTCCAAAAGTAGTTAGTTACAAGTTAGTTGACATGTAATGCAGAGGTATCCAGGTCTGACTTTTTTGCGGCCATCGCCCCACAAAAGTAGTTAGCTTTTTTCGAACAAAATACACAGTTAATAGTTAGCACTAGTGTTCGCGTAAACAGACTAAAGTTAGGTATAAGCTAACGTCACTCCCTGCAGGGATATAACCCTGAGAACTTAACAAGTTTACTAAGGCAGTGCGATTTCTCGAACTTAAATTTGTTCGATGCTGACGGTATGGTGGAGTATATTACTCATTGCATTATGTGGGCCATGAGGCAGTTGACTTACTCAAAAATAACTCGCATTAGGCAGAGGAACAAATGGTATGATAGGCAATTGACAGAGATGAACAAGTATAAATCTAAATCCCATGAGAAAGCAGTGTTGTCAGGGTACTGGGGTGAATATAATTTACTGAGAAGCAGATATAAGAAAATGGTAAGGTGTAAAAAAATTAAATACTTTGAGCATAAGGTGGAAATAAATAAGGGTGACAGCCGACTCATGTGGAAATACTTAAAGGAGGTAGTCAATAACACGGAGGTCAAAGAAAATATTGGGGAAGTGATAATAAATAACACCAACTACGTAGACAGCTTTGAAATTGCGGAAAACCTAAATAATTTTTTCGTGGACAGCATTTTGGAAATACATACCAATATAGAGTGTGTAAACTATGATTTTTTCGAGCAACGAGCTCCCACAAGTACGCTAAAATTTGAAGAGGTCTCAACGGAAGACATTCTTCAAATTGCCAAAAAAATTAAGCGGAAAATTGGGGGAAACAACCTACTTTCTGAAGGTGTTATTAAGGACTCTGCTGATTATATGGGATATTTCTATGCCCTACTTATAAATAAGAGTCTCCACAGGACAGGATCAGTACCGGAAGAATGGAAAATTTCATCAATAGTGCCCGTCAAGAAAGTTAGGAAAACGGTTAAAGCTGAGGAGCTTAGGCCCATCAATACTCTCCCTAGCTTCGAAAAAATGCTAGAAACCGTTGTGAAAAACCAGCTACAGTACTATGTGGAATCCAATAAAATACTCATAAAAGAACAATCTGGATTCAGAGCTAAAAATTCCTGTGAGACTGCGCTGAATCTGGTGCTTTCTCAATGGAAAGAAGATCTTAACAGACACCTTAATGTAGTGGCAGTGTTTATTGATCTTAAAAGAGCATTTGAAACCGTTGATAGGGTCCGAATGTTGGATAAACTAAAATACATTGGTATAAAAAACACTGAGCTTGACTAGTTTAGAAGCTTTCTATGTAATCGTAGGCAACAAACAATAGTTAATTCAAAGATGTCTAGTAAGATAGCCGTAGACATCGGATTACCACAGGGCTCAGTTTTGGCACCCCTACTCTTTAATATATATATAAACGATATTAAAAGTTCTCTCAAACATTGTAAAATAAAACTCTTTGCGGATGATGCCTTGTTAACGATCAGTGATAGGGAACTACCAAATGCGATTGTCAAAATGCAAGAAGATCTTAATTCTTTGTACCAATGGCTGTGTTCAAATAAACTCAAACTGAATGTGAAAAAGACTAACTTTATGGTATTTTCCAGAGCGGCAAATGCTGACTCCATAAGCCGTGAATTAAAAATCAAAGATGAAAACATCGAAGAGGTGAAAATTGTCAAGTACCTAGGAATATACATAGACAACAAACTAAAGTTTGATGAGCACGTTGAGTATACAGTCAACAAAATTGCTAAAAAAAATTGGCCTTATAAAGAGATCGTGTAAGTACTTGGGAAGAAGATATAAAACGTTGGTGTACAGGTCTGTAGTAGAACCGCACTTTATATACTGCCCCACGATTTTCTTCCTAGCGGGGGACTCCCATGTAGATAAGCTGCAAAAAATGCAAAACCGAGCGATGAGATTCATCCTCAACAAACCGTATGACACACCAACACGATGTATGCTTGAAACCTTGAATTGGTTAAGCGTGAAGCAACAAGTTTTTTACCACGCTATGAAATTTGTGTACAATATTAAGAAGGGCAACCTGCCGGATTATCTTAGCGATAATCACCGATATATAAATGAGACGCATACATATTTGTTGAGAGAGAATAACAGCTTCAGACTCCCGAAGTATAGAACAGAAGTGGACAAAAAAAATATTTTCTATAAAGGCTTAAAGTGCTTCAATGAATTACACTGGTCGACGGCCAAAATTTACCAGAGACGCCGTTATGAAATTCGTATGTAAAATCACCCCCTGATTCCGAAAATCAAGGTTATTTTTAATTTTATGGTACCGTTTTTGAGATATTTGCAATTTACCGTTTTTGCAAAAAAAAAAAAAAAATTGGGTCCACTTAATCACTGGTAAAGAGAAAAAGTTGAAATTTGTGGTCCAGTGTTACCAGAGGCTATAAAAAATTGTGATACTATCACTCTTTTCAAGCGGCTGCTATTTGACTATTGTAGAACGCAGCCTACAAGATAGTGATGTATCAACAATAGCGTGGATTGGAAACTAGGCCTTTCCAACCACCAAGATATCGAGACTAGGCGGATCGGAAACTCGGCCTTTCCGACTACCTAAACCCTTAGATAATAAACAATAAACGAGCGGATTGGAAACTAGGCCTTTCCAACCGTCAACCGTCACGAAAGCGCGACTGGGTGGATCGGAAACTCGGCCTTTTTGACCACCCAGGAGATATCAATAAATGGAGTAACCCAAAAAGTATAGCGCGGATTGGAAACTCGGCCTTTCCAACCGTCTACATAACTTCCAGAAAATTGCATGCGTTTATATTGACATAAAATAATTGCAGTGATAAAGAAATAATGTTATTTAAAAATTTCTGTAGAGCATTTTGTATTTTGTATTTAATATTTAATATTTACATTTTAAATCTAAAATCTAATTATAAGAATGTTAAATCTTTGTTGCAATATAAGTCTAACAGACTGTAAAAAATAAATAAATAAAATAAAAAAATATTCAAAAAATGGATTGAACCAACAATTCAGCACTGCTTTTCGTTGCAATAATAAATGGTTAGTTTAATATTAGTATTAAAGTATAAACAACTTTATTTTTATGGAAAATATAATTTAAAAGGATAACAACGATTAGCAATGTGGCAATTGGGCATTCGGTAGTTATAAATATGGATCCCAACCTGGATAAAGACGGCATAGATTATGTTTGGAGACTGCATCATTTATTAACCTTTGAACTTGCACATCCGTATTGACTGTACTGGTTATGTTACTTAACCTTCCTTCCAACTTGTGTTGCACACATAGAAGAGCACGCTGGGCGGTTAAGTTTTTCTCATCATCTGTGAAAAGGGATTATAACAATAATACCATTGCACAATGGAGTTTCTTGTTGTTGCTCTCACCTTTAGCGCTAACCGTTGAAGGTACTACATTCCAAATATATAACGGATCATAAAGCAAAACCTCAAGTATTGTAATAATAGCGGATTGATTTTTTCGTAAAACTTCTAGTGTTGTTTGACATGCTTTCTTGAAAACTCCACCTGTTTCGCAAACACCCATGGGTGCAATCATATCGCGAGTAAGGCGAAATGGTACAGTTTCTGGAGTTGGCATTATTTTCCCCTGTTCAAACGCGATCCCTTTGATGATATAATTGCAGAATGTTTATTAAATAATAAACTTTATTCATAAGAAGTAAACATTCTGATCAAAAGAACATATGTATGTAATTACCGAAATCAATGTGAATTACTTCAGCTGTTTTCTCATCAATAAGTATATTTTGCGTATGCCGATCGCCAAGACCAACTATGAAGCCAACCATTGAATTTGCAGCCATACTAAAATAACACACAAAACGATTTAGAATTGAAATCCAATGTAATGGCTTATAAACAAATTACCTGTTTGTGTAAGCTAGTCTACGTTCAAACCAAACTCCTGGAACTCCAAATTTTTCAAGCAGAAAATAGTGGAAAACAGGCTTGATTTGTGCGCAAATTTGTTCGTAAACCAACAAACGCTTTTGCAAGTCAGATTTGAGATGTTGCTGAAAATCAAAAATGATCGATTATTAAATAAGCATATGTACGCATACCCATTTGTGTTGGGATGTCATCGTTTCCTAATACAAAATGGGTATTCATCTAAACGCGTAAATGCCTCGTTAACAGAGTAAACATGGCAAATAGAGTCCGACTGAAGGTAGATTTTTCGGCCGAACCGAACGTTCGGTTTTGATCCTGCAATCCGCCAATTACCGAAGCCGATGATTTACTTTAAAATTAAGTAAATCGAGCTGTTCCTCTAATTTGTGGTGTGCGTCTTGATGTTGTAGCATAAATGGAGGGACCTACAGCTTTACGCCGCCTCCGAACGCAACTGCTTTAAGTAACTTTAGGGAATGCTAGCCAATATTGAAAAATATCAGCACCCCTAAGAACTATTCTATATGTACATTAGACGGCATCACCAAAAAAAGTTGCGGTTTTTCCGCCCGGATTACAAAATTTATTATATTTTAAGACTTCCACCACAATATTTCGGAAAAATATTAAGATTTACGTGAGCTGGACCGATTGGAAAATACCTGCAAGATGGAGTTTTTTATGAGTAAAAATAGTTTCTTAAAGGATTTTTTGGAAACAAAATCCCCTCAGTTTAGGCTTTAAAAATCTAAATAAAAATATTTTTAATCTTTTTATTGAGCTATTTCGGAGATCACCACATCTCCTCATCAGACTTCTTTTTTCTAGACTTCAGCAGGGATCGAACCTGCGTAATCGATGTGCAAAGTCAGAAGCGTTAAGCACTGAGCTATGCACACCCTAAGTATGCAGTTTTATAGCCCATTCAAATTTAGTATAACAAAGTGCACGTTTCAAGTCGCTATAAAATCGCGTTGATTTTTGGTAATTTCTCGCAACCAGCTAAATCTAACCGGAAAACGGCTAAAATGGCCACACTGCCAATGATAGGCTGAGTTATCTAAGTTTTTCTTAAACCAGTCTTTGAAGAAAGTTCAAAAATAGTATCAAAAACCTCATTATTGTGATTCCGTTAAAAATTTTTTATTAAATATTTTTATGCAAATTTTTTAAGCTTAAACTGTTTTGTCATCTAAGGTAATTTTTTGCCAAAAATACTTAAAAAACTGTTTTTATTCACTAAAAACCTCTATTTTTGGAGGTATGTTCAAGTCGGGGCAGCTGACGTAAATCTTAAAATTTTTCGGAAATATTTTGGTGAGTCTTAAAATATAATAGATTTTATAATTCCGGCGGAAAAACAGTACCGATTTTTTTTGTATGGGGAGTGATGCAGTCTAATGTTCATACATATCGTTACCTTAATTCAGAAAGGCCCCCACCAACACTTTTTTCGAAACAGATTTTAGTAGGATATATTAAAATACACCTTCAATAAACATTTTAAAGTGTTAGAACCATAAACAACGGAGTTACACGCCACTTTTTAAAACGCCGTACCTGTTTTTGATATTCTTTTTATAATGTTTTTGGATTCTCCTGTTAAATAAAAAATTTGTTAGTTAGGGCCTTTGTGAATTAAGGTAACGATATATTCCTTAAAAAAATTTCGTACCATCGTATTATGACATTTCACACCGTTAAAAAATAGTTGGTTGCGGTTTCAAGTCCTCTGAACATTTATTCAGCCGTTAAAAACTTTACTACATACTAGGGATGTTGCGAATGTGGAATTTTAGACATCCGCGGATGCGAATGCGGATGCGGATGTCTAACAACTAACATCCGCGGATGCGGATGCGAATGCGGATGTCAAGTATTTTCAAGAAACAATTAGAATCTAGCATAAGCGAAATCGTTGTTTAAACAGCACTTACAAGCCAAACGAGATGTGTCAGGTTTTTCAAAAGCTTTTTAAAATGAAATCTTTGTTCTCATTCCATTGGCTGTTTCAGAATTTGGGGAACCTGTAACGTCATCAGCATTTTTTTATTGTAGTTTGGTAATTCATTTTTAATACTTTCTTCTGCGACTGGTTTGAAAAATTTGTGCTTATAGCGAGCTAAATAGGTGGATATGAATGAAAATTTTGAACAAAATTCTGTTTTCAAAGTCGTAGCTGCCATCCGAATCGGATCAGAATATTGTTATTTAAAAAAAAGCACCCCGTTTTTTATAAGTATTTGAATTATTGGAATTACGGATGATTAAGGGTCAGACCTATAGCTTTTTAATTATTTGAGCATCGATTCTCTTAATAGCCAGACATTGATCATTTCTGCTGGAAATCCTTATTGAAAGACCTTACTCTTTGACTTTAGATAGCAAAGAAGGGAGACGTAGGGGGACAGTTGTTTTACCACAGAAGTTTTTAGCCAAGGATCATATCCGTATGAGAAAAATACTGCCCGACAACCAAAAATTACTGTTTTTAAAATTTTTAATAGAAATAATTTCTCCAAAGAGCCCCATTTGAAATGGTTGAAACGAATATATGTAAAATCAAAAGCAAATCACGAAAATTTGGTTAAGAATTACAATGTACACTTTATTCTTTTGTAGTCGTTTTTTTTTTAAGATTGGTCCAAAAAATCATAATAAAAAAGAAACCAATGCAGGTACATATTTAAAGCATAGCATAAAATATTATTAAAAGGACTATGTTCTCTTTGACGTACGTCAAACTTTGACGAAAATGGAAAAATGGAAAAAAAATTTCCATCGATAACTTAAATTTGTGACACACAATGGCTAGAGGCGTCGCTTGAGTGCATTCTTTCATATATTTATGTATGTGCCAGTTTTACCGTTATATATTTTTTATCTACTCGTTTATTCCATGGGGTATTCATGCTTTATTTAAATTTCAAAAATTAAATTACTATACCGTCTTAAAAATCTGAAAATTCACTGCGGGAAATTTTTTTATTCTCTTTTTGTCTTCGCCTTCTCGTTTTTGCCTTTATAAGTTTTGAAAAAAGGATTTGAACGAACCATTATATCACATTCCTAGACAAGTTTTGAAAGAATATTTTCGATACTAAATTTTACTAAAACAAAGGCTGCGTTTCTTTATATATTCCGGATAATCCCATTTAACAGCCGGAATAAACAGAATACGTTTGAAATATACGTTAACATATCATCAGGAACGTTCTAAAGAATAAATAAACAAAAAAGTTTATTCCAAACGTTCAGAATGAATAAAGAAATTCAGCCAAAATGTTCAAATCAGCTTCATAAAGCTTCAAAAGTGTCATCGTTAATTAAGAAAGAGATGTTCTTAAATATCATAACTTTACGACACTCACATATTGAGTAGATTTGACTATTTACTTTATTATATTTTAATATGAATTATTTGTTTATAAAAATATTGTTTATTCCTTAACAAACACTAAATGAAATTAAGTTTTATCTTTGAACAACATTAAAAAAAATCGACAAACTTTCTATTTCAATTTGATCTCTTAATATTTTGCAGTTTTTTAGCAAATTCAATTTTAGTCTAATAAAGTGCAAATTTAAAGTAGCTGTGATTTACAGTTGATGTATGGCATATTTTTGACGATGTCGGTAATTTTCTTCCATATTATCTAAGTATGTTTGACGATTTTTTTAATGAAGAAAATGAGCAACGCCTTCATCAAAAAAAAAAATATTAAAAATCAACGATAAGCCGCAGCTATGTATTTTAAACTTGCGCTTTATTTGAATTGATCGGGCTACAAAACTGCATACTCAAAATATGTATTTATAGGAAATGTAATTAAAAAGCTTTACGAAAGTTTGGACCTTGGATTTATACGGGTTTTGTTAAAGTGTAAACAGCACTTTTATAAACAAATAATTAAAATTATATAATTTTAAGATAAATGGCCATGTATAAGGTTTTGATAAGCACTTGAAATGTCAAGTTTTAGTACTGAATTCAACTTCTTCATCCATTCATAATAACTTAAAAAAATTTGTTTGTTAAGAAGTGTATCTTAAAATATCTGCCTTGACATTTATGTTAAAAGTGTAAAATATGTAAATGTACCTACATAAACTTTCCCGTGAATACCATCAAAGCATTGGTCTTGAAGGGAATCTATGTATGCATGCATGCATATGAGCAAATTAAAAAGTCGATACAATTTACAGTCGAAAAGTACAGTTTTTGTATAGATTATAGATTATTTCCCAACACTATGGGGAACTAAGCAAAATGGCCTATTGTATTTCACAAATATTCAAATACATAATCCACCAACCGATAATTTTATATATTCATTACAAGATAATTTGTCATCAGTCTGAAATAAAATATTATAAATCGGAAGGGTAAAATAGTATTGTGTTATTAATTCAAAAATAAAAATTTTCATTTCACTGACGAGGGGGGAGGATCTATCCCCCCAAATCCCCCCGCCTGGCTACGCCACTGGTGCTAAGTATCAGTACTTAGTATGAACATTCGTTTTTTTTTTTGAGGTTTTGAGGAGGGTTGCCAGCTGTGGAAAATGTTAAGTTCAAATTATTTAATAACTTGAATAATAAATGAATTAATAAAAGATGTGCATCAATCGAAATGGGTTTGAAAAGGATTTATTTCTGAACTGTATTTAGGAGACCTGCCGCGTGGTTAAAAAATCAAAATCAATCTAATTTATTAGTTAATTGAATTATGCGTGACAATATCGGACGGCAGATGTTTAAAAAGATTTAAGTTTGAAAGTACTTCTAAGGCACTCGGCACAGTACGTGCCTAATCAAAGTAGAGTAATCGTTTCGTCATGCCGAAAGGAATGCATGACGACTCGACTTCTGCACACTTGCACGCCGTGCATAAGTCACCAGCTAATAAACACTTTCTACACATAACAAATTTTTGGGCCGCTCTTTCGCAACTACGCACTTCCGCAAATATTTCTGCTCGAAATATCATTCATTTTCAATTTACTTCTATTGAATTGACAAATTAATGTTATTTCCAACACAAAAAAAGTAAACAAATGACGATTTCAAAACTGCAAGCGCCTTACAATGTTGGGCGCTTCGATTCATGAAGCTTTTATGATTAGGCAAAAACATGATTTTGAATCGTAATGTACAGAGCTTCATTGAAATACATGTCTTCGGCATAGAAGCTTTATACTTTAGTATGCCGAAATGATTACACTACTATGATTAGGAGCTTAATGTGCGGAGTGCCTAAAGAGGGTTGCAACCTATTGAAGAGTCTAATTTATTTATCTTATGAAATATTAAGATAGGAGTTTCAAACGAAAGTCTTAACGAAAGTTTGAAAATATTTTTTGATTGGTTTTGTCACCTATTCGAAAAGTAATATATATCTTACTATCTACAAATATTAAGCTTGGTCCATATAGTATGTTTTTTTTAATCATGTGATTTTTACAGTTCTCTTTCCCACTGGAAATTTTGACAGATAGTCAGTATCACATCTCCGCGGAACAAAATGATCGCTTTACGCTTGAACAACGTTAAGAAATAACGCAAAAAATAATAAAATGGACAATGTTTTTGCTCGAAAATCGTATTTCCTAACGAAGCGCATTTGCATCTCGGGAGGAGGTTAACAAGCAAATATGACGCATCTGGGATCTGGAAACCCGCACGTGATAATTGGCCTATTTTTCTTTCGGCCCGCAGTACAGAGGCACGATAAACGATTTTTTGCAGCTGGAAATTGAAGACGCGGACTTGGACGATCTTTGGTTTCAGCACGATGGCGCGCTTTGTCCGCCAGCTGTAATTTGACGGCATTAAACTTTTTTTTGGTGTGCCGAGAAGGACTGCCATTATGGGAAGAATTCATGAACGGTTCAGGCCCTTAAGGTGAATATCAAGCAAGCTATTCGTGAAATAGAGCCCGAAACCGTCACCAAGGTCTGGAAAAACTGGGGTAACAGAATGTGCTACTACTCATTTGTTTAAATAAAATTAAAAAAATATTATATGAACCATCTTTTGGAAGGTCATCAGATCTGCTTTCATTGGTTTCTGAGATATAAGGGATAATTTGTAGTAAAATAATTTTTTCATAGTGAATTTTTCAATTCGTTTTTTTCCCTAAAATGCACAAGGTTTTTTTCCTTAATAATAATAATAGATTGGCGCTTACACATATGTATGTTAGTGTTTGGCCGAGCTTCTCCTCCGATTTGCGGTGTCCGCCTTGATGTTGATGTAAGAAAAATTCAAACTAAATGGAAGATAATAATAAATACAGTCTGTATTTATTCTTTATTTCAAAACTGATCAGTTTTATTCCAGACGGAACCCATTTATCCATTAAAAACCGGTATTTGTGTAAAATTTTAATATATAAGCCCTTTTAAATGAATTCAGAGCAAGTTCATCAATGCGGAAGAATATATTTCAAACTCATACCTGAGCAGACTAAACGCGGATGTGCCAAATGAGTGTCCGGCATCGAAACATCTCTTCGCATGCCCGGAAAACCCGACAACCCTAACGCCTTTGTACCTTTGGATCGACCCTATGGAGGCTGCACGCTTCTTAGGGCTGCCGTTATTGGAACTTGACGACAACGACTGAGATATTAACCGATCTCGGCGGGGTTGTTGTAGCCGCTACAACAACAACAATATATTTCAAACCAACTCTCCTAGAAATGGGCGTAGCAATTTTAAAACCAAAGTTCAAAAATTTTGATTTTATTGAGGATTTCGGTAGAATATCTATATTGCTATATTGCGCAACAAGTGTTGTTAACGAAGGGATATTCTGCAAAAAGCCGCAATAAAATCCGCGTTTTGCTAACTTTAGCCCCACAATTGCCACGCCCATTTCTAGGGCTTTGTCGCCTTAAAAAAAATCTTGCCGTACAATCTATTCTAAAATTTAAATTTTAGCAAAAACACGATTTTTAACACCTTCCTAAAAATATCCCATCATAAGTTTTCGAAAACAAATTACAAAAAATTGTTGACTCTCACAAAATAAACCATCTCGTCATAAAAAAGTAAAAATATTTAAAAAATAGTTCTTGAAAAACGCCAATTTTATATAACCATGTTTTTTATAGAGACTTAAACAAGGATGACGATGGTGTAATTTTAAATCCCTAATTTATTGGTCATCACTATGCAAATCAACTTCAAAAAGTTAAACTGTTAATAGCTAAGTTAGCTTTAGGACAAAGTTGACCATCTTATATATCGTCGATGTTTTTGCAAAACCGCCCATCGCCCAATTGCAAACCCGCCTTTCTTACTCAAATTTTACAGGAGAGCAAAAAACGGTTTATTATTTGAAGTCATTGCCTTCATAGCTCTCTAGCTATTATTTTACAAATCTGTTGTTTTAATAACAATTTAACGATTTTTATGCATAAATCACGATGCCCGGAGTTCAGGGTTACCAAATCTCATTTTTGCCACAACGGCGATTTAGGCGGTTTTGCAACTGGTCGATGGGCGGTTTTGCGAAAACATCGACGATATGTTAAACCCGTTTCTTTAGCTTCAAAATTACGTTAATATGAAGTCTCTACGATGAGCAAAACCCGAGATATAACGACTTGAAGTACATGATTAGTCCCGTTTCTTTAGCTGTAAAACGACGTCAAGGTGCAGTCTCTACGATGAGGAGAACCCGAGATGTAACGATTTGAATAAAAAAAAATTAATAATTAAAAAAAAAAATCCTCGAATACGTGTTAGCTTATTTCAAGCATATAACCATAAAAAATTGCAGCGAATCGAAAGTGTGACACCAAAATTGGTGTTCGATATGAAAAAGAATGCCTCATGTACATACATATGGACTAGGGTATGTCGGGTTAAAATTACATATCGTACTAATTTAATGCGACAAACGTTCACAGATATTACAGAGTAGCAATTGTACATATTCTGAGACTGCTAGAAACAACAACAGAAACTACTTAAACGAATCTATTGCCTACTGCCCAACGCGAACAAGTAAGAAATTGAGCTTTTATGGTATTTCATTTGACGCTCGATTTTTGTTTTTACCAGACGTGCAACTGTCAACCGTTTGCTACATAGGTAACAATTATTTCCAGGAATTATATTCTGCTAGCGAAAATTCCTTACCATGGATAATTGACGGCATTTGTATGGTGAGATATCGGCAGGTCGATATTTTTTATGCGCACCAACTTTGTCACTTCCACTACCCAAATACACACCGATAGGTACGGTATTCTCACACCACTCCAATATTCCGCTCCGCATTGAAAGAGGTACAACTTTATAGGTTCGAATGCTAATTTTACGTTCACTTGTTTTAGGATCACAGCAGAGAAGAGTGTTTATAAGTGAAAAGTACTGCTGCATAACTGCGTCTTGCCGTAAGTCATCTCGACCTTTTAACAGCTGTGGACGTGTTTTTCCATCAGAACACAAACAGATAAGCTTTTTAGGAGCATTGATACCTCCTACCAAAGATACACGTTCGTCCCACTTAACGATGCCTGAAATAAAAAAGTATGCTTAAATACAAATTAAGAAAACCACGCAATGGATTTTGAAAAACAAGGATTAAAGTAATTCGTAATTAATTCCCAGAAGATAATTTAGGTAGGCCTACTTAATTGAAGCCATTCTAAAAGGACTACTCAAGAAGGGCTAAAAAAAATGCTTGCCTGCATGCCTTCTAGAAGGGCTGTTTCTATTTATACAATTTACGCGAATGCGTAAATTTATATTACTTAACAAACGAATTTAAATATGCATTTTAGATTGCAATAAAACATATTTGATTTGAACCTTAAATGAATACCTTAAAGAAGTATGATTTTTATGAATTAAAGAGGCAGCTTTATAAAAACTTCTCCAAACGGCCTTCTGAAATGCGTCCTACAAAGCCGTTCTATGGGTAGCGAAAGCAGAAGGCTTTCAATTTGTGCCACTCCATACAAAAAAACATGGAGGAATGTAAAGTAGAAGGCCTTTTGACTCTCAAGAAGGTCTTTTGGAAGGGCTTTTCCTCCTGAAATTATCTGCTGGGTTATTCATGAGTTTACTTGTTATTCGGTAGTCCTTGCTTGGCAACACTGGAAGTTCAATGGTGGGGCAATGGACTGCTTCTAAATGTTTAAGCTTTTTCAATTTGTCTGATAACGCCATAGATGAATTTTTTTCGGGGTCAGCACTTGCGAACTGAATTAAAGCTAAAAACAATCATAGGGATTAAAGCTAAGTTTTTCCCCAAAGTGTAGCGGCTTACCGGGAAACACCAATGCAAACTGCTTTGCGCACTGCGCGTTCAATGTGTTTCGTCCTCTTGTTATAATGTCCGCTGCGATATTAGATCGAGTCTTATTACCTTTGTTTCCTGTGTCGTCAAATATTAAAGGATAGAGCTGATAAAGTGTGTGGTGTGGGTGATCTTGTAAGCACTTCACCAAAACCTCTTTAATGATGGATATGAAATCGTCATGCTTTGAGTTTAGCCTGGCGGTAATTTGATTCAAAGCGCAAATAAATTTATAAGATGGAATTATGCCAATACTATCTTTAATTTCCTTGTGCAGCGCTTGATCTTGCTTATTTGCAAACCATAGCCCAATGATTCTATAGATAGCTGCATTTGAAAATCCAGTGTCAATTTCACAAAATTTCATATAATTCTTAACGGAAATACAAAGGTTGTTGGTGCGCTTCTCTTCGATAAATTTTACTTCGGTTTCATCTAAATTGGCATACTTTTTCATTATGATTACGCCATGGTTAATGTCGCGATCTTTATTTTGTCTGCCGATAGAATCGGCTGCTTGTCTATTTTCCTGTATAATTTGGCACTTCAGTTTAAACTCTTCGGAATTAACATACATATTCGACTGTAAAGAAAATAATAATACTTAATTTACAAGAGATACACATTGCAAACTTTTTAATAAGAATTTCTAAGAAAGTTCTGGCAAGCAGTTTTATAGCCCATTCAATTTTGTGCAAATTTCAAATGTCTAAAAATTCGCATCGAATTTAGCATGTAAAACATTGCAAATATTAACAAAAAAAAAAACCTTATACTCAATTTTGTGAGTAACAGTTTATGTCTGTAAGCATACATTTAAGTACGTACTTGCACATATTCCCGATCGGCATATTTAGCGATTATTTGATAGGCCTCTTTTTTGTTTTCCCTTTCAAAGGCAGCGGGTTTAAGATCTTCCAAATATAGAAAACTTAAGTCATCATTATCATTATATTTTTGAGATTTGAATATCTTTTCCAAGTAAACTATAGATCTGTTGAACATTTTTTCCAGAACATATTCGAAACTTTGCGAATTCGATTCCAATAGAAACTCTCCGTACATTCTAAGTGCCCTCGCTTGTTGAGGACAAGCCCCTAGTTCCTTATGCGTTAAGGCATGCTTCAACAAGGCTTCCGTAATTTCTATGTTCCCACAGCGGAAACAAATTTCCGCATCCTCCAGTAATACATTCAGCTGAAACATAGATTTTTTTATATTTTTTTTGATTACTGCACATTCTAATTAATTTTCAAACGTGTACCTTAACGTGTTCATTTGTGATCTCTATGTCCCGAAGCGATATTATATTACGTTTCGCCAAATTTATTTCTCCAGATTTTTTGCACTCCTTAACAACGTTTAGAAGATGCGTTTCAATTGGATTATACTGTTTAAAGAAAAGAAATACCAACACTAATGAAATTCACCACTTCGTAGAATAAAGTATACAAATATAGGTAATTATTTAAAGATCTGAAGATTCATTAGTGGCAAGAACTTTTAGATTTTATAATCGTATGTAATTTTTGGTATTCGGCAAAGCAAATGTTGTTGTTGTAACAGTATAAAAATTCCCAAAGAGTTTGTGGGGAGTATTGCTGGAGTTACAGTCTTTCGCCAGATATAAATCTGGGTCGTACCGGTTACGTAGACCCGACCGCCGTGGGAACGCGGAAAAGCAAATCAAAACAGTTGGTTTTCAGCAAGACACATAAGGGCCAAATAGTTATGATAATGAAAAGGAAATGCAAACTTACCTTGAAATAATCTATTACTCTTCTTTGCCCACGCACACCTGCTGTTTTAAACAAAGTAATTTGGTGGGATAGTACAAGCTCTTTACAATTGAAACTCCCATATTTCTGCTGGTTTTCCACCTGCCATTTTGCAAAAATCGATTTAATATCTACTTCAGGTGTAAATTGAACCTTATATTAAAAAAAAAGTATTATTTATGAGTTCTCTTTTTGAAAAAAACATAGAATTACTTGACAGAAGTCCTCGGTCTGCTGAAGTACGTGTAGCCATGTGAGATATTTGTAAACACTTTGAAGACATTCAGTGCTTATCCCCATTAAACTATTAATTACGCATTGCCGCGAGTTTTCAATCGCCGCTAAACAGTTCTGTTGCTCACGATTATATAGACACTTCAAAGCATTGAAATGGTGCTTTTCAAATTCCAGGTCTGGATCATTTTCAATATTCACTTTCAAATGGCCCTCCACAGGGACATCCCATTGACAAAGTCGCCAGCACACTTCATAGTCATTAGAATTGTCAATGTTTTTATTACCCAGGTCAGAAAGACTTAGAATTCCGTTTCTTTTTAATGCTGAATTACACAAGCTATTTGTGACTGGATTTGTGAACGAGTTTTGAAGTAGCATTTCGGACCAATTGTTGTTTAAATTAAGAAATTCAAGCCGAGATTGTAGAGGAGAGAGAAATCCAGAAATGGCATCATAGCAACCGATAGATTTATATGCCTATGAAAAGAAAAGTTTAAAAATATCGAAAGTCGTTTGTATTGAATCTGTATTGTATTTGTACGTAAATAAATAACCTTGGTGGCAATTTCCTGGAATGCTGAATTTCTCAAACTCTCTTCCAATTTTATCTGCTTGTCCGAGTTAAATTCCGATAAGGCCCATAACTCTGTGTAAATAATTGTCATAAAATATACCTGGCAATGATTACTAGCTCGAGCTACAAGCAGCAAATTCATTGGAACGGAGCTGAAATAAATATTTTTGCATTTTGTCCATAAGTTATTCAAATACAATACCTTTTATTGTGTAAACGAATACATTCACATATGTTTAGAAATATCTTTATTATTCGTTTATCTCTATAAATATCTTGGATATTCATCTGATCGCGACGCACGCTTTTATCAAGAACCAAATGCAGCTCTTTGAAATAATGTTCGAGCATTAGCATAAGACTATTCAAGTGATGTTCCTTATGTGACATTAGCAGAGTAATAAAGGGTAGTAGTATTTCGTTTGCAAAATATATATCTTGTGACGCTAAGACGCGCAGTGCTTTCCAGCCGCAAAAATCGAAAGCCTTACTAACAAATCGACAAATCCACTCATTCCAAACTAGCAGTTCCGTTGAGTTCACAATGGATAACCAGTCTATGGAAACGACGCTAACGCGTGGATCCCACTCAGGCTTAGTTTTGGTGCTACTTTCAAAAATTTCCAGATAAGGATAGATTTCTGAAAGCAAAAGCGATTAAAATATCACTTGGTAAAATACATAAAAAAAATAGGTATATTACTCTTACCACAAATCGGTTTAGCGAATTTTGTATTCATTAACTGAGTTGCTACCTCGAACGTGGCTTCGTATGTGTTCGAATCGAACTGCATTAAGGTTTTGTCTAATATTTTTGCAAGACATATAGAGAAGAGTTCGATTCTGTCCACTTGGCTTCCAACCTTGATAAAGGAAATTGATAATTTATGATATAAGATTCAACGCTATGCAAATTAAATAATCATACACCCAGAAAAAGGTTTAGTTATAATAACCAAGATTTGGTTATAGTGATCAAGTGGCATAGTTGGATATGGCGAAATAAATATATAGTTCACGAAAGTCTGCAATTTACTTAAGACTTCTAGTTGGGACAAATGTATATTTGTTAATAATTACAAAACGACTACCTTGATTGGACAATATTGTTAGTTGAATAAAATCATTGTTGAGCAAATATAAACAATGCTTTGGTTAATACAAGTTTTCAATTAATTTTGTGAACTTGCTGTAGACTTGAATCAGCTAACCGTTTATTATTAGGAAAAAAGATTCAGTTTGACACAAATAAAAATTTACTCGATGTTTGTTGTGTTTACTTTCTTCTTTTATTTGCATATATTAAGCATAAAAATACGTACATATTTACATAAGTTAGTTACTAAAGTAAATAATACATATGTATCTGTTGGTAAGAATTTCCTAAAAAACATATTTGCATATATTAAGCATAAAAATACGTACATATTTACATAAGTTAGTTACTAAAGTAAATAATACATATGTATATGTTGGTAAGAATTTCCTAAAAAACAACGATGAAACAAGAACAGTCGTGCGAAAACCCAGGTCAATATCTGCTGGAAGTATACTGCTTTGCTTTTTCCTTAGCTAAATAGACACTTTCAAATTATAATTCACATGAATTATATATCCACTGAAAAACCCCGGTTGGCATCAAACTTTATATTTTTAATTAAACTTTAAACTATGCGCGCACCGAAACAACTCGTGATGATAGCAAAACTGAAACTGAGACAAACAAGTATGGGCATGTCATAGCACAAATGGCGCAGCGATCGACATGCCATAGCATACTGAGCGCTCTGGGACCACATGCGTGTTTCACCCATATACGAACAGCGGTAGCGGAGCAATGATTTCCACGCACAATGCAATGGTCGGCATACTAGCGCATTCAAACGATTCAATAAGTGGGACTGTGTGCATTGCTCAGCTGGCGCTCTTCGTATGTGCTCAGAGAGCGCTCAGCATTCTTTAGAGATAATCACAAGCATGAATATGTTCCACTCTCAAACCAAATCGTGGTTGCCTCAACTAAGATTTGGTAACTATGACTAAACCACGTGTTGAAAGAAAGCTTATCTGCATTAGCAGAGCTTAATAACATCCTTTTATGAACCATACGTTAAGTTGAATGGAATTTGTAGAAATATGCTTCAAAGAAATATTTATTAGTATTAACCAAACCCTTCAACTAAATTAACGATTTGTTACAACCTAGATGAATATTAGAAGCTTTAATATATTTAGTTATAATTACCAATCGATGGTAATAGTTCCCAATCCTTGGTAACAGTTCCCAAATATTGTCAAAATTCGGGAACTAAATATCTTTAGTTGTCGAAACTAATCCTTTTTCTCAGTATACTGATAACACTCACTACGTTATGGTGTGCTTTTTTTTTGCAGGTTAATTAAAAAAATAAATACCAAGATACAGTTAAGATGTAGTAGAGGAGCTCAAGAAGGGATTTTGAGATTAATTCAAGAGCGACAGATTAACATATGGGAGATACCTTGTTGTCGCGCACCGCTACATTAACATGAGCAGTTAACGACATTGGTGACAAATAGGCACGATTATTAAGAACAAAAACCACTTTATTTTTAAAGTAAAGTAGAATTTGGAATTGTTTTAATATCTGTAATCTTAAAATACTAGTACAGTTTTGTAAATTGTATAACTTTAACAAAGTTCAACCAAAAAACTCACTTATTCTTGTCCTTTCAATTCAAAGTTCTGAAAATGAATCAATCGCATTGATAAAATTCAAAATGGTCAATCCACATTTCGTTCAGTTTAGACTTGGTCAACTTTTCAAATAAGATTAAATTAACTACACAAAGAAAAAAGCACCATGATTTTTTCAAACAGTGTCCTTTTCGGGGTTTCCATATTAGAGATTTAAAAATTTTGAACACAAAAAGTATCTATTTTATAAAGCATGTTCACATTATCGTAATTTAGGGGCATTCGTAATTCATAAACAAATCATGCTGGAATGAAGTAATTTTGCCATGTAAAATTCTCCATAAATGCGAAATTTGCGAAGTCAATTAATTTCAAACATTTGCTATCAAACTTTTAAATTTTTTAATCAGATTTTTTAGAAAAGTGTTGGGCATGCATTTTTATAGCTAATTTAATATCAGTATAATAAGGAGCAAATTCGAAGTAGTACATTTTCTTCGATATAAAAATGCGAGTAGTTTAGAACATAAGTATTTTGTGTGGATGAAAATGCGAAACGCCTCCAACCAAAAAAAATTCTCAAAAATCAGCGCGAATTTTGAGGTACTTCAAATGTTCACTTTTTGTACTGAAATTGAATGAGATATAAAACTTCATACCAAAAAATTGTCTGTCAGGTTGGTACTACGCAGTCATGTTTTTAACCGGCGAGTGGTTGAAAAGCTTATTTCCGAAGTAGCGTTACTAGCTTTAAGTGTGGCCATAATGCAGAAAAGTTTGTAAATCAATGGAAAAGAATATTCGTAGCAGTTACCAAGAACTTCACGTTGTACGGGAGTATTTGTATAATAAAACCGGTCCAAACAGATTTATCAACTTTGATAAAATTCTGTTGAAACATATCATTTCTCAAGCTATATAGTTATCCGAGCTGTCAGTTGGCAGCCAGTTCCCCCCGCTTCTTGATTCTTGACTACGTCAGATAGAATTATTGTGATAATTTTTTTCTGTGCTTCCAATAGCTGCATTTGTTTCATTCGTTTTTATGTTTTTTATGGACCAATATTAAAATAAAACTAGTACACATGCAAATAGAAAGAATGTACTATAATTTATATTCTTTTTAATTATTTGAAATGGGGCCTACGGGACATTTATTTTTGCGATCGCCCCATCGAGTTTGAAACGTGGGTCACAAAATATTGCAACAATGAAGCATTACGGGACGATACGGGAAGCGGAGCGATATGTAAGCATGTTCGATTTTAATCACATTTTAAAATAAGAATACATCAACCACGCGTTTCTGCTTAGCGGCGTTCATTGTTGCTTATCTTTTGTCCTTGACGTTTCTTCTCTCTATTGCCAAAAATAATCGATAAGTCAAGGTTGCAGATGGAGAAGTTATCTTTTAAATACAGAATTATTTTATAACTTGGATTTAAGAGGAGAAATTTTGTATTCCTAATTACGTGTTGGAAAGTTCATCTCGAAAAAGCGGATAACCTGGTCATAGGTATTTAAAACACCAAAATCAAAGGTCAATTTTGTGTTCAAATAAAAAAAAAATCCCGATTCCGTATACGCCTCGCAGACGTAGATTAGGCTTTTGGGGTTAATGAAAATTGGTTATGGATAAACAACAATAGTTTACAAATGGTAGAAGTTATAGCTGCTATCATATAGATCACCACATCTGCTCATCAGACTTCTTCACCGCGATCACTGTGATGTGAACCAGTCCGAAGTCGCTGGTTGACTCTAAAACCGTTATTCGAAAGCTACGATCTGCTATCAAGCGCTACAAACAGTTTGTTTCGAATCGGATTTCAGAAATCCCGCAATCATCAGATTTTTGTCAATGGAGATGGTTACCTGGAAAAACTAATCCAGAGGATGAAGATACAATTCTGCAAACATTTTGCTCGTTTTTTTTGATTGATGGTGGAAGTTTAAGGTTTTTAGTGGTATCTTATATTTCAACGGTGGGCAAACACGGCTCTTTGAGCCAAATGCGGCTCTTTGCTCAGAAAAGTGCGGCTCTTTTTACTTTCTATTTGCTTAGAACAATTTGCCTCTTTTTATACCCGAGCGCACTTGTGCACAAGGGTATTATAACTTTGTTCACATAACGGTTGTTTGTAACAGGCAAAACGAATCGAGATAGATATAGACAAATGTATACATAAATGATCAGAATGAAAAGAGAAATCGATTAAGCGGTGACTGTCTGTCCGTCCGTCCGTCCGTCTGTGCACCCGATAACTCGAGTAAAAACTGATATATCATAACGAAACTTTGTACGTTCACTTCTTTCGGGCGTAGGACGGATGGTATTGAAAATGGGAGAAATCGGACTGTAACCACGCCCACTTCCCATTTAACGGTAATTTTCAGAAATACGAAAACTTCGATATTTTAATAACTACTGAAGATTATTCACTCAAAATTGATATTTACCATAAATTTTAGACGAAAAATAAGAATATTATAAATTTTTGGAAAATGGGCGTAGCCCCGCCCACTTATGATTACATGTGTATATCTTGATAACCGCTGCACCAAACTTGGCACAGTTGTTGGCCTTGGTACAGCATACCAAATGGCCGAAAATTTTTAAAATCGGACAATAAGCACTCCCACATCCCATATAACGGTAATTTAGAGAAATACAAAATCTTCGATAAATCAGTAAATATTAGATCTAATTTATTCAAAATTGATGCTTGCAACAATTATTTACCAAGAAATGCGTTTATGATAAAAGTTTGGAAAATGGGCGTGGCACTGCCCACTTATGATCGCATATATGTATCTTGGTAACCGTTCTACCAATTTGTACCAAACTCGGTATGGTTATTGTGCTTGCCACATAAAAGCAAAACGTTGAAAATTATTGAAATGGGACTAAAATTACGGCCGCTTTTCATATAACGGTAAATTTCAGATATGCTTGAAATTTCAATATTTCGAAATTTAAGGACGCTAATTTACTCGAAATTGATACACCCCGGCTTTCCATGTAGCGGTGGCATTCGGAAAGGTAAAAAACATATATTTAATATTTGCGCCGGGTATTTAATGTTCGGCTCCGCCCGAACTTAGACTTTCTTACTTCTTACTTCTTAAAATACATATTTCTTTGCTAGACATTGGGCTCGTTTCTAAGACGTAGCTGTTGTTATT